TAATGCTCGGCAGCGCTGGCCCTGGCGGCTGCCGCGCGCGCGATAAGAAGAGGAAAGGAAGATGTATATCACAAGAATCGGCCGAAAAGCTGAAATAATTCCGAGCTCTGGTGTATGAGAAGCATGTGCTGCGCAAAGCGTTCTGCGCACATCACTCGTTTAGAGCACTTTAAAATAATTTAGCTGAAAAATTAATTCTGCAGTTGAAAACAGATCTGCTTTAACCAAATTTAACATTTATTTCTTAATAATCGTAAAAAAATTTGCGATTACACGACGGGTCATCAATGGCATGCGCACGGTGTGTGATATATTTTGTATGCTACGTAGTAATGATCGATACTTGTATTGGCATAATCAAATTACGCGGACGAATGCAGTATGCGCAGCACACGCAATCTGCATATAATGATCGGCCAATGTTAGCAATATTGGCACGCAGCATCCGTTCCCAAACAGACGTGACCAGTTGCTTGAAGTCCAGGACAAATACGATAACTTTGTTACCGTATGATGCGTATCATGCCAGTCGTGTCGTACCATTTGTCGGATAAAACGATGTTACTATCACTTGCTGCCTGTTGCGTATGTACTTTTTTTTTCATCGTTACACGGTATAAATTCAGACAAAACAATGCCCGCAAAAAAATGTAGATAAACTGGAGAGAAAAGAGAGGATCTCGTGATTTGAAATAAGATTTTAAATAAGATTTATTACAAAGCATAGTTAAAGTATAAAATTCAGTAATAGGAGGTGAAACTGACACTTAAAAGATATTGGAAAACCTTTCAAATAAAAAAAAATATATTTTTTTATCTTGTCATTGAGAAAACCAGGCTCCACATTGTTCAAGAATCTTTACAAACACTAAAAGAACTTGGAGATAAGAAGAATTTGAGAGATATGGATGACTAAGCTTTAGGAAAAGCTTAGTCATCCATATCTCTCAAATACTGCAAACAATATGCATACATATTTAATTATCTCGTGTGATGAAATACTAACGATATTGCATTTTGATTGCAAGCTAATTTCACGAATCGTCTAAATGCAGTAAGGTAATTCCCAGCGCACAACGAAAAAAACCGATGCTTGATACACCTACCAAAAAAAAAAAAATACAGCGCGCACTTTTGCAACCTATATCGCTAACAATATAGACATCTGACCTATATTCCGACATTCTACTGCGTCGGGCACTGTGCGAATCGAAAGCATCGGATGTCCAAAAAATCGATCGTCCGTCGAAGCGCGGGTCCTGAGTGACTCCGAGTGAGGCTATGACGCAAGCGTTGCATACGCACACACGCGTATTGCACACATATGCATTGCGCGCTTTTTCCCGAACGATATTTTATTTTCTCGCGAGTACCTCCTCGACATGACCCGGACGATACGCACGTAATACCCAGATCGGTGTAATCATTGCGACCGTATCGCCGATGAATCGCCTAGTATATAATATGGCTTCTTTAATCTCCAACCGGGACGTGACGTAGGCGCGTGAATGAATGCGCCCGGAGAGGCGAGCGTGTCGGAGGAGATGCGGCAACGCTAGAGGAAGCGCTAAATATTCTTTCAATCTCGTCGCTTTAACAGCGGAAGATTGCGCGGGATTAAAGGGTCTGTCTGGCGCTCTTTTTGCATCAAGCGGATTCGAGCATCGGCTCTTGGAATTGCGAATCCGCGCGAATACAATCCGTGACGCGTCTCTCGAACGACCGCATAATAAAATCTGCAGATCAGATGTTTACAGAGGGTTTCCTCGAGATTCGAATGCGTCGGTCGACGCCGTCTCTTTTCGCCTCATTTTACTTTGAAATACTCGCTGTCCACGGTTGAACTAATTCGCGCGAGCTAATTCATGAATATGCTGATTATCGCGCGAGCGCTGCTTATAACGGAAAAGTGCATCGTCGTTTTTCTGCGCGGAACGATGGATGGATTTGTGGGATTATAAGATTCAATCGAGAGTCCGGGATTAATAAGATCGCGAGATTTCGCCGACGCGCCGTCTATTATTTCGCGGAACGGTTTTGTATTTTAATTAGCACACAAGCAATTGACTGGATTATTATTTCCGGAACTAATTAATGCAATTGTGCAATAACTTAATATTATTCATATAGATTAGTTTAATTTAATTAAATCGTACTTCAAAAGCAAAGCGACAACCGTAATAATTAAACGATGGAGATGTTACATTCTTTCTTTAACTTTACCAATCCACAGACATTTTATTATTTTTCTACTTTTTAGATCTTTAATTTTTTTTTACTTTTAATTTAAAATTTAGAAAATATAAGAGTTGTTCAAAATGCGTTACAAATTTATAACAAATTTGTACTGCAATAAAAAATTTTTAATCAATTTTCTGTTAAAGCAAGTGATTATATAAATAATTGATTATATAAATTGATTCAACAAATTGGTCTCTTTTATTGTTATCATATCAATATTGAACCTTGCGTTTTTATTGAAAATTTTACATATGCTGGTATATTAGCAATAATCGGTTACACAACTGAATTTACTTTAGTGCAGTTACCATACATGGAATAAACAGAAATCGTAAGATACGTTAACTGGTGCAAAATATAGTATATTAAAATTAATTTAAAATTTATTATATTAAACAATATAAAAATTTATATTAAGAAGGTATTTCTTATTTATCAATTCAGTCAATTTTATTAACCCATTTATTAGTATTTTACCTGCTGTTGTTATAATATTAGTTACAAATGTTAGTTAGAACAAAATTATAAAAAAAATAAAGATTTTGTACGTGTATTATATTTTCTTTAGAATATATTTATACTTATCATATATAGAGTTCATAATTGATTTTATTAATAAAATTACAAACATTAGAAAATTACAGAGTTACAAGTTTTACATCAATCGTTGCAATTAAGTCAAAATCAGTAAATATCGTTAATTTTTTTTATTACTTGACAATTTCATTTCTACAAATCTGGGTAAGACAAAAGCAGCCCGATGTATTTTATCATTGTAGTACTTCATTTCCATCTCATCGAGATCATCGTCACTGAATATTCTAATCGGGTTCTGTAAAATTTGTTTTCTGAAAGGAAAGATTCAAAGGTTTATAGAGTTTTATTCTAGGAAAATTCATTTATAAA